GTATGAAAGGCACAAAATTGCTCAAAGCAACAAAAATGAATCCAACGATTACGTCAAACCCCTCAAGGAGGTTTGAGGATAGTGACCCTATCAATGATGATTTAACATACGGTTTGATCAATAGAGATAGAGTGTATTGAGTTAAAAGCTGCAGAAAAACTGAAATAACCTCAAAAAATCAGAGGTGGTCACCCTAGTGCCACTACAGTATTGTTCGCGATTATCAATAGTGATACATTGTATTTAGGAGATCGCTGCCGAGCTACTTGAGATATGTTCAAAGAATCGGCTATGTCTCCTCAAGCAAGCAAAATCATTCGACAACATTTATGGTTTTCTGTGACCAGAGAATCTATGGAATCCGAAGATGTGAAAAAATCACAATGGTTCTGAGAAATCCTGTGGATAGGGTTATTTGAAATGTCGCTTCTGATATTCCGAATTACATAAGAAATATTAGAATTAATCTCTTCGAATTACGTTATACTTCACGGATCCTGAATATTGCTCTAAGACACGGCAGAAGGAATGTTCGCTTTTAAGTGGTCACATGATAGACCGTTCACCTAATATCATGTTTGCTAAATAGAAGCTTGTTGAGAATGTTCGTGGTTTGTTGAATATATATGTGCGTCGGTTTTTTTTTNTTTTTTTTTCATGAACGCACCTGGAAACACCGGAATGCTCGCATTCTACTGTGTCCTACGCATGATAGCTTGCAAAAATGTTCACTCTTATATCAAAACACTAAAAAATTCAACTGAATCAGTGAAATGACCTTAACATGCGATTTGCACACAAAACCATTGTTGCAGTGAATCATTTATTGCATATATAATTAGCAACAACAACCGAATTTTAAGGAAACAGTATGTAATATATTTATATACATATGTAGGAATCTGTGAAACAAAACAATAAAAGGTACGAAAACAAGAACTTTCATAGTGTAAGTGAATGAGATCAATTTCTTTTCAACATGTAATATACCGGTACGCATAAATTATCCACTTCATGGTATGTGATTGTTCATTGAACGATAAAATTTCAGCGTATTAAACAACTATGATCAATCAAATGTGATCAACTTGAAGCAAACTTTTCACTCGTGTAGCTCACACGTAAATAAGTGCAATCACGGCACTTTCATAACGTCTCAGTTCTGAACAATAAAAACCTCTGAATGATCCAATGAACTGTTTGAAGTTTTCTAAAATTTTCACGTAATTCTCAGCTGCGGTGATCACGAGAAATTTCAAAGTTGAGATTAAATCTGGACGAGTTCGAGCTGGGGAACTGAGACATTATGCAATACTGAATAACAACTTGAAAACTGTAGAACACTGAGAGAAGAGATGACATAATGGAAGCAGATATGGCAGCTTTGTATGAATGCCCGCAAAGAATTGCATCAATCTGCTGAGAGTGGTGCGTAATCTTCGTTCACGTCGAACAGCTGCTCAGAATTATTCACCAGATAGATATTCAAACTATTCGAGAAACCCTTCAGTGCTTCCATCACAATCTCATCAGATTCGGCTTCCATAACAATTCTTAAACGTCACTTCGTTAACTTCAACTGTTAAGCTTATTATGTCAAATTAATTCTGTGAAGTCATATGGTTTCAAACGGAACTTTTCATTAACAAAAAGCCTTAACCGAAATCGCCCTCGGAACCTCCAAACAGTTGAACTTTTATGTTTGGTTTATATGAGTGTCTTCAGTTCAGTTAATAAAAAGCTCTGATCTTCTCAAGTATTCAGTTTTGGGATATCTTTTCTCACATTTTGTCGAAGAAGTTTGAAACGTGACGCAACTTATTACATATATGCGTTCTGGAAAACAATCATTTGAAAGTCAAATTCGGCGCATATCAGGGTAAGTGAAGTCATGAAAATACATCTGAAACTCACTGAGGTAATGGTCCTAAATTGACAAGTAAACGAAGCAAGTGAATATAGCCATACACTTCACATGGACGAAGAGGAGTGCCTGAATGTGGCTCCACAATATCTGAATAAAATAGTCACTCAGAAATGCGAATCCACAACCATGCCTGGATGAACAACACCCTACGAGTTATTCACTTTCTATATGTGGATTGAGTAGTGCGTGAGCTACTGCTTATCTAAGTTTAAAGCAAACTTAAAGGCAACAGATCACAGATTAAAACCAGAAAAATTTGTGAGGAAATATTTCGAAAATTGGATCACGTTGATTCTCAAAAGTCAGAAATTGTATTTGTGTGTACGTGATACAAATCAGGCATTCGAAAGGTTCTTAAGAGAATCTTCAAAAAACAATTCATTTATCAGAATATAAAAAGATGCCATTCAACTGCACAACAGTCGAGAAACATTCATTATGAATGAGATAATCTTAATACCTCGTTCTTTGCGTATGATGGCCGATTGCTGTAATTCTTCGTGACGACTGATTTCCTTCGCAGTCAATAACTGATGTGAAACAATCAAGTCAAATAGATCCTTCAAAACACAATAACTTAACATTCTGTGAAAATAAAACAGATAAAATTCTACTTTGATATTATATATCACACGTTATGTTTACGTGAAAGGTACTTAGTTGGATTGTTTACAGTACATTTCAATAACAATTCAAGTTCTATTTGAAATAAATGTCCGTTCAGAACAAACACTAATAAAAAACCACATCGAACTGTTGTAATAGCAAGCTTCACAAGACTAATAAAACCACATCGAAAAAAACTTTCCACTCAACTATTCTAACAGTAAGCTCTGGATGCTACTTTCCTCATCGATGGATAAGTTTCCCAGGGAGTGGAATGATAAAGGAATTACAGGTAATTCAGCGAATCTGAGGCTAATAACGAAATGATTCTATTTCAAAAACAGACCTTTATTCCGTCAACACATTCCGTAACTGAAGCAATAGTCGCTTTCCATGTTATGCTAGTATCTCGTTTATTACCACAGCTCTCTTCGATCTTTTGCATATGACTCGCGAACTAAAATTAGCATTCCAGTCGGATTATATTTCGATCAGTAAAACATCTGGGTTGATTGTTTATAAGTGACAAAATTCGTCGCTTTCCAAATGTCGGAGACGTCAGTTTTTTTCAAGGAAAATGTCTCGGTTCCGCATTCCCTATCAATTTCTAAACTCCTTGATGAAAATGAATGTCGCAACTGACCTCATTGAGAATCTTCGAGATACTTGAACGTGCTGGCAACTTCGGTAAAACCTTACCAGTGACTGATAAAACCATATCTTTCTTCAAGATTTCTTTCATTTTAAGCGGTAATTCTGTGTCAGTGAACTGAAAGTTTCTATTTGATAACAAACAAATTGGCTAATCCAAGAAAGGATTAGTTGACTACTGAAGGATTAACAAATTGGCTGATGTGATCCTCTTTCCTCATAATGACCACTGAAGAACATTGCCATCGCTGTTTCCACAGGCCTTACGTGAGCATTTCATACCGCCAAACCCGTCACTTAGATGGGTTACTGAGCCATGCAATCTCACCAAAATAGCATTGAACCATGTTAAATGCCTACATTATAGAATGGTCGTTCAGCATCTGAACTGAAATGGGGAATGACGATTTCACGTGCAGCTGATGTTCGTTGTCGTTTAGCGCTATTCGACACCTCAAATGGATTCTCTTCATCTATTTCGATTTTAGTTTTTATTGGTCTACCTGAAATCATAAACATCTGGTGAAACGCATTGAATCCAATATTTCAAATAGATTGAATCAACAAATTCAATTGCGTTCGCTTCGAGTCAGCTGATTCTTTTGCAATTAGCCAATGAATGGTAGTGTGAAGTAACTATTACAGAAAAATTTGTGTGAAGAATGTGAAACACTGCCATATTTAATGATCAGTTTTCACTGCGAATTCCAAATTCTTTGAACTGAAAATGCAGATGCGATGATAGAACACAATCATCTAAAAATGAGCGGTTAGACTGACCAAATGAAGAAACGCCTGAAACACGCAAAGTTGGTGTATTCTTTTTGGACGTTTCTGAGCTACTACTACGATCATCTTCTGATTTTGGCTCGGGTTTTATCGATTTTCTTTTCATGCTGGTATTTTTCGACTTCTTCGACGATGCACTCTCGGCTCGAGCAGCCTTCAGTTTCTCCTGAACACAAAACACGATGAATGCAAGTATCGGGTAGGATAGATGTGCTGGTATTGAGAGGAGGCATCACTGATCGATGCCTCTTCAAGGTAACTGCTTGATAAAAAACATGTCAAAGCCAATATCAACGAATCGCCTTTTCTATTCGAAATTACTGCAAATCTATGTGAAATGTGCCACTTTTAATATCTGATTTAATACCTTTCTGATAGTACAGAATTATGTTTGTATGAGTGCCATGCAGAGTCAATGTGAAACGAGATCAGAGGCTCTTGCATTGTGGATTTTATGATAAAGGAGAATAAGAAGGAAGGCATATGTGTTCAGGGAACTACCTTCGCTTCTAAGAAACCAGCTTCTGTGAACGGACGGATCCTGAAGGCTGCTTTCGATTCCTCAAACGTCTCATCGTATCGTTTACTCCAACCCTATAAAAGGAAAGGGTAACACATTAACATAGCGATCAATAGGAATAAACTTAGGAGAAGTCATAAAAGTTGTTCGTTTAAATTTGGTGGAAGAATTCTCGAATGAATGAAAAAAGTCCTCAACTAACTGCAACATACCTGATAATGAATTGTATAAAGTCTTGCACCGGACTGCGCTTCACTGATCCCAATTATTTTTGCGTCATAATACAAATTATCAGTATGTTGACACAGAACCCTCTCGTTTAATTCATAACTCTGGAATGGAATTTCTCATCAAACCCCTATAAAAACTTCATCGACATTTCAACATTTACTCCAATCAAAACGTAATTTTTCAGACGGCATTGCGTTTGTCGCCATCACGAGAAGTATTTCAATCCTCGTCAANATCTATGCATCGAATTTCGCCGGCACAAAGTTACCGAATGGAAGCAACACACACAAAAACGCATAGCAGCGATGCTGTGAAATTTTTCATATAACGTCGAATGTTGTTTGGAATCTTAGTAATTTGAAAAAGAAAAACAAGAATCAATTTGCAATGGAATGCAAGAATAAAAGGACTAGCGATCAATTTGCGTACGACCTTCTCACATTCATTGCTGCCAGCCGAAGGTAGAAATCGCAAGTTTCTTGTTGAACCTATGTGTCAGGGCGAAGCTCTATTTGAGGGCAAATCCAAAAATATGTTTGTTGCTCCGCAAGAAGAGGTGCAAGCTCATAGAAAATGAACAACAAATTCGATACCTTCACGGACTCATCTGATGAAAGTTCCATTGTTTTCTCTCCGACCAACGGTATCCACCTTGAGTTGCTGAGAACACACTCCAAAACGGAATCGCCACCTGTACGACGAAAGCCTGAAATATGAGAAAGTGCATTTGGCTGATCAAGAATTGACGTAACTTTGTTATTGAGTCCTCTAAGTTTATGTCGCCAAATCCAAGAGTATGGACGGAGAAAGTTTTCGCTGACAAATTAAAACAGCTCAAGAGAAATTCAGGAGAAGGCAGAAAAGAGCCGTGAATGTTTCATAGTTAATTTCATCAAATGATCAGTCGTTAAAATCTTCGGCTGTTTATGTGATAAAAATAGTGAAATAGATTTCGGCGATCTTGAAAGAAAAAATTTCTCGCCGAACTGATTGAATGTACGATTGGGTCGTTATTCTCTGTACAACGAATTCAGTCTACACCAGCGATTTTACTTCACCACACACACTAATTGAAGCATAACGGCAAACAACAATAGCCGGTAAAACAGTGTCTATTGTTGTCTCGAAATGTTTAAGGAACACTGTTGAACAACCACAAAAAAAACATATTCCGTTGAAAATTANTTTTTTTTCTGTCCAATTGTGTGGTTCGTCTGAAATTCGTGAAAACTTCACCAGTTTATATATTCATTTTTTAAAATTAGAATTATTGAAACGTCAAAAATTCGTCGTCGATGCACTGATTTCGCTACAAATTTATGATAATTCAGAACATAAATTGAAGTGACTTTTAGCAATGAATTCATTCAACATTTCGTTTTTGAGTCATTCGCTGAAAGTTTTTGTTAAGTCAGTTGGAATAATCTTCGCGAACAAACGTTGGTGAGAACATGGAAAATTCGTGAGATAACGTTTGTTGAATCACTTCTTAATGCAGACGTTTACATCACGCCAAAACTGTGTTTCATCACTCAGTGTCCGTCACAAAATGTTTGTTGTTCATTCAGAATCGCAGAATGCTCGTAACCAGTGATGAAGCTTCGAGTAGTGTGCTGGATTCTGGAAATGAAGAGTTCATCGCCGAAGGGCAAACGGCCGTTCAGTTGAAATTTGGTAAGTTCGACGTCATTGAAGAACTCCGATTCTGAGCGTTTCGTCCTTTTTGTTCTGTAAATGACGAATTTGAATTTGATGTTACGAATAAACATCTAGACCAGTATACGCAAGTTTCATTTGCTGATCACATTCAGTGCAGTCATTAGAAAGATTCATTGATTCATCAGAAAGATTCATTAATTCAGTAATTCGTTTATTTAACATAGTGAAAAGAGTGATTTAGATTTGTTTCAAGCAGTGTTTAGAGTATATTTTTAAATTTTAGTGGATTCTGAAGCCGAGATGAAGTCAGCAAAAGGATACCACCCGGAATTTGTTCATCAGCACTTTGGCGATAAGTTTGTTTTTTGGATTTTTATATATTTATGAGTATTTCAAGTGAATCTCATTCAAATCTCCTTATAGTGTGTATGATATGAATGGTCTAAAGTTTTAAAATTCGAAGCATTGATCTTTTAATTTGCCTTCTGACAACTGGTTTCTTGAAATTCGGTTACCGTTATCAATTTTAGTGAAACGATATTCGGTTACAAGAATCTCGAAGTGACTCTATACTATACGGATGCTTCGATGTATATCTATCCTCAAATCAAATATGATAAGGAAATATCGTCAGTGTCGAAGGAACTCAAGGTTTTTGTTACTCACGTTTTGTTAAGTCTGGAATTATTTCACAATTCAGTTGATGAGTATTCTGTTGATAAGTTGAAGATTTCCGAGTAATCTCAAATTGTTCATGCCAGTCACTGAGTAAATTTAACTTCCAAGTAGCAAACACTTCTGTCATGATGATGGCATTGCGCTGGAAATATTAATGTTAAAATGTGGTTGTGGAGTGAGAAAAAATTTTTTGTTGAAACGTCGCATCAATGTCAAGATTTCAGTGGAGTGTTTGTTTTATAGGCTGATAACATAATAGAACTGTTGAAAAATCAACTTCCATCGGCTGAGATGAATACAATGGTGTCATCGTTGGACATCTTCAGAAAGCATCTCAACCAGCAACGTTCATTCAGGCCATTCGGCGAATTGATAGCAAAATTCGATTTTGGTTTGTATTTTTAAGTTTGTATCCATCACTCTGTGTTCTATTGAAATCCACGTGTTCATTGGATGTAATTACGTTTCGGTATTCCCCTAGAATTGAGCGGAAGTTGAATAGCATTTTTTGGCCTGTTCGAGGTAAACCACACTGTTTTCTGTTGGATTGGTTGACGATTTAGGAGGAAGCTGAGTGCATGTGAGTTGGCTTCATTGGTCACTCGTCACTTAATATCAAACCTAACTATTCTCTACATTTGACTGAAGTTTGGCGTCAAAATCAAATAAATATTTCCTAGTTCAGTATATTTCCCGAATGTTAGGCTGAGAAAACTCGTACGATTTTTCTCTAGTGATTGCTCGATTTGAATAAGATGGCTTGATTGGTGTTCGGCTTAAGATTGCTGATTTTTAGATGGTCGTGAGATGCAAGTGTGGAAAATTAGCGAAAGTTCACCGCAATTCGATGCGTATTTGGCTCGTGCACAAACACTGGCGTTGTGGTACATTGATGCAGCACAATACACTGACAACGATGACCCAAGATGGCAACATTATTTCGTGTATGTTCTCTGCTTTTTGTGGAAGGGAGTGGAATCAGATCAGATATGATTTGTAAGTAATGAATTTCAAACGGTTGATTGAGCGTACACGGAAGTTGAATATTTTTGAATATTCGTTGAGATGCGA